TGCATATATAATCTATATCAATTTGCTTGCCTTTTCAAGGAGAGGTGAGGTTAGAGAGGGCAAGAGAGAATTTGGAACTCAAAATTTTTAAAAATGTTAAAAATTGTTTTTACATGTAGTTGGAAAAAAATAAAATACAAAATTAAAAATTAAAAAAAAAAGATAGTACTTATCATTTTAAGAAAGGCTTTGCTTATTCCTATACTTTCTAGTGTTTTTAATAGGAATGGGTTTTGTAGTTTGTCAGAAGTTTTTTTCACATCTATTGATATAAACATGTGGTTTTTATTGTTTTTGTTACTGGTATAGTCAATCAGGCTCATAGCTTTCTTAATACTGAACCAGTTTTGCATTCCTGGTATAAATCCAACCTGGTCATAGTGAATGATATTTGTGATATATTGCTGTAATCTCCCTGCTAGTATTTTTTATTTTTTTATATCAATATTCATTAGGCACCTTGTTCTATAGTTTTCTTTCTCTCTTTTTGCTCTCTGTAGTTTAGACAATGAAACCATATTTGTATCAAACACGGAATTTCATAGGACTCCTTTACCTATTTTTTTTTCAAATAGTTTATACAGTATTAGAATTAATTATTCTTTAAATGTTTGGTAGAATTTGCTTGCAAATCCATCTGCTCCTGTTTTTTTTTTTTTTCTCAAGGATTTTATTTCTAGCTTGTTCAATTTCTTTTTCTAAGATAGGGCTATTTAAGTATTCTGCTTCCTCTTCTGCTAATCTGGGAAATTTTTATCTTTATAAATATTCATCCATTTTACTTAGATTTTTAATTTTATTGGCATATGAGTGGGCAAACTGACTCCTAAGAATTGCTTCAATTTTATCTTCTTTGGTGGGGCATTCACCCTTTTCATTTTTGATACTGATAATTTGGTTTGCTTTTTTTTTTAAATCAAATTAACCAATGGTTTATAAATTTTATCCCCCTCCATAAAACCATATCCTAGTTTTATTTATTAGTTCAATTTTTTAGTTTTCAATTTTGTTGATTTCTATTTTGATTTTTAGGATTTCTATTTTGGTGTTTTATTTGGATATTTTAAATTTATTTATCGTACGTTTTTTTTTGGTTGTTGTTGTTGTTATTTGCCCAATTTATTGATCTGTTCTTTCTCTCTTTTATTGATATAAATGTTTAGAGAAATAAATTTTCCTCTAAGTACTGCTTTGCCTGCGTCTCACATATTTTGGCATGTCATCTTCTTGTTGTCATTATCTGTAGCGAAATTGTTGATTGTTTCTGTGATTTGTTCTTTGACCACTCATTCTTTCGGATTAGGTTATTTTGTTTTCAATAAATTTTTAATCTATGCTTTAAAAGCCCTTCATTGAATGTGATTTTCATTGTATTATGGTCTGAAAAGAATACATTTAGTATTTCTGCTTTTCTGCATTTGTTTGTGAGGGTTTTGTGCCCCAGTACATGGTCAAATTTTGTGCAGGTGCCATATACAGCTAAAAAAAAAAAAGATATATTTCTTTCTATTTCCATCCAATTTTTCCAGAAGTCTATCATATCTAAATTTTCTAAAATTCTATTTATCTCCTTAACTTCTTTCTTATTTATTTTATGTTTAGATTTATCTAGCTCTGAGAGAGATAAATTGAGACTACCTACTACCAGTTTTACTGTCTATTTCCTCCTGTGATTCATTTAACTTTTACTTCAAGAATTTGGACGCTAAAAAAATTTAAAAAAGAATTTGGATACTATGTCATTTAGTGCATATATGTTTACTATTGTTCTATGTTATTTACTATTTACTATATGTTCTATGTTGTTTACTATTGTTGTCTATGTTACCTTTTAGCAAAATGTAGTTTCCTTGATTATTTCTTTTAACTAGGTCTATTTTTTGCTTTTGCTTTGTCCAAGATCATGACTGCAACCCTACCTTTTTTTATTTTAACTAAAGTGTAATAGATTCTGTTCCAGTTTCTTATTTTAACCCCATGTATATCTTTCTATTTCAAGAGTGTGTCATATAAACAATATATTATTGAATTCTGGATTCTAATCTATTCTGTTATCTTTCTCCATTTTGTAAAAATTCTTTTTATGACACAAATATGGTGCTGATACCTAAACCAGGAAGAGTCAAAACAGAGAAAGAAAATTATAGGCCAATTTCTCTAATGAAGATAGATGTAAAAATTTTAAACAAAATATTAGCAAATAGATTACAGCAACTTATCACAAGAATAATGCACTATGACCAGGTAGGATTTATACCAGGAATGCAGGGCTGGTTCAATACAAGGAAAACTATCAGCATAATTCATCATATCAACACCAAAACTAACAGAAACCACATGATCGTCTCAATAGATGCAGAAAAAGCTTTTGACAAAATACAACACCTATTCCTATTAAAAACACTAGAGAGCATAGGTATACATGGACTCTTCCTTAAAATAATAAATAGCATCTATCTAAAACCTTCCGCAAGCATAATGTGTAATGGGGACAAGCTAGAAGCATTTCCAATAAGATCAGGAGTGAAACAAGGATGTCCATTATCACCGTTGTTCAATATTGTACTGGAAACGTTAGCTTTAGCAATAAGAGAAGAAAAAGACACTGAAGGCATTAGAATAGGCAAAGAAGAAACAAAGCTATCACTCTTTGCAGATGACATGGTGTTATACTTAGAGAATCCCAGAGAATCAAGTAAAAAACTACTTGAAATAATAAACAATTTTAGCTAAGTTGCAGGCTATAAAATAAACCCACATAAATCATCAGCATTTCTATATATTACCAACAAAGGCCAACAATATGAGATAGAAAGAGAAATTCCATTTAAACTTACTGTAGACATTATACAATATTTAGGAGTTACCTCCCAAAACAAACCCAGGAACTCTATGAACACAGTTACAAAACACTTTTCACACAAATAAAGTCAGATCTAAATAACTGGAAAAACATCAGTTGCTCATGGGTAGGCCAAGCTAATATAATAAAAATGACAATTCTACCTAAGCTAATTTATTTATTCAGTGCCATACCAATCAAACCACCAAAAAACTATTTTATAGAGTTGGAAAAAATAATAACAAGATTCATTTGGAAGAACAAAAGGTCCAGAATATCAAGAGAACTAATGAAAAGAAATGCAGGGGAAGGTGGCCCACCATTCCAGATCTTAAATTGTATTATAAAGCAGCATTCATCAAAACTGCTTGGTACTGGCTAAGAAATAGAATGGTGGATCAATGGAATAGGTTAAATATGCAAGACACAGTAGTCAATGACTATAGTAATCTATTGTTTGATAAACCCAAAGACTCCAGCTTCTGGGATAAGAACTCACTCTTTGAAAAAAAAACTGCTGGGAAAACTGGAAAAGAGTATGGCAGAAACTAGGCATAGACCAAAATCTCACACTATGTACCAAAATAAAGTCAAAATGGGTTCGTGATTTGGATATAAAGGCTGATACTATAAGCAAACTGGGAGTGCAAGGAATAGTTTACCTGTCAGATCTATGGAGAACAGAAGAATTCATGACCAAACAGGAGATAGAGAACATTACAAAAAGCAAACTAGATAATTTTGGTTACATTAAATTAAAAAGTTTTTGCACAAATAAAGCCAATGCAACTAAGATTAGAAGGAAGGTAGAAAATTGGGAAAGAATTTTTACAACCAGTCTCTCTGATAAGGGCCTCATTTCTAAAATATATAGAGTATTAAGTCAAATTTATAAGAATACAAGCCATTCCCCAATTGATAAATGGTCAAAGGATATGAACAGACAGTTCTCAGATGAAGAAATTAGAGCTGTCTATAGTCATATGAAAAAATGATCTAAATCACTATTGATTAGAGAAATACAAATCAAAACAACTCTGAGGTACCACATCACACCTATCAGAATGGCCAACATGACAAAACAGGAAAATGATAAATGTTGGAGATGTGGGAAAATTGGAACACTAATGCATGGTTGGTGGAGTGTGAAATAATCCAACCATTTTGGAGAGCAATTTGGAATTATGCCCAAAGGGCTATAAAAATGTGCATACCCTTTGACCCAGCAATAGCACTTCTAGGGCTATATCCCAAAGAGATCACACAAACGGGAAAAGGACCCACATGTACAAAAATATTCATAGCAGCTCTTTTTGTGGTGGCAAAGAATTGGAAATTGAGAGGATGCCCATCAATTGGGGAATGGCTGAGCAAGTTGTGGTATATGAATGTAACGGAATGCTATTGTGCTATAAGAAATGATGAACAGGCTGACTTCAGAAAAAACCTGGAAAGACTTGTATGGTCTGATGCTGAGTGAAGTGAGCAGAACCAAGAGAACATTGTACACAATAACAGCCATGTTGCATGATGACTAATATTGATAAACTTAACCTTTCCTGGCAATACAAGGATCTAAGACATCTCCAGAGGCCTTGTAATGGAAAATGCTATCCACACCCAAAGAAAGAATTTTGGAAGCTGAATTGCTAATTTTTTTCTCTTCTGTTGAGTTTTGTTTCCTCTTTCTGATGGTTCCTCCTATTGGTTTTAATTTCTACTTACAGCATCACTAATGTGAAAATATGTTTAATATGAATGTAAATGTATAGCCTATATCAGATTATGTGCTGTCTTGGGGAGGGTGGTGGGGAGGAAGGGTGAGAAAAATTTTAAACTCAAAAGCATATGGAAGTGATTATTGATATATCAAAATAAATTAATAAAAAATAAGGAAAAAAAAACAAATGTTAAATGTTAATAAGGAGTTTACCCTAATAGATTCAGAAAAGATAATATCTCTTCCTGCCATTTAATCTCCAGTCATCCTCAGATGATCCTGTGCTCAGGATAATTCTACTAGACAGTCCAGGAAAACCTAGGGAGTAGTAAGTCCATGAATAGGAAATCAGAATGATCCAGTACAGGGAGTTGGACCAAGGGCCCATATGTTTAGTTGAAACCCAATTGAATTTCACTCACCTTTAATTTCTTCCAGAGAAGCTGAAAAGAACTCACAAAAAGGGAAAAGATTTTCTTCCCCTGTCATTTTACACAACTACAGTGACAGGAGGTCCAGTTCTCACTCAATTATCTATAAAGGGGACTCGAAGTCTTTCTTACATTCTACAGCACGCCCTCCTTACCCTGTAGGCCATCGTTCTCAAATACTGGACACCAAGTCGAAGAGGGCCTTCAGGTTTCATTACACCTTCTATGATGGGACCACCTTTGTTTTGTATCCTTCACTTTGTGGGAGGGGCCCCCCTCACTCCAGTCACCCATTCCCACAAGTTTTCATTTCTTGGGAAAATATTGATGTGGACACTGGCTCCTAACTTAGGGCATTTGAAACAACATGAGTCCTGAGGGTATCTGAAGCCTCATCCTGCCTGACAAATTAAGTTCTCCTGTGCCAAAATGACCAAGTGCATCAACCTTCCAAGCATGAATCAAAATCTTCCTTGAGGTCAAGAGTACTAAAAACTATGTTCCTTTGGGATCCCATCATCCTCTTGGAGTAATCAGGTGGGATTTGGGGGTGGAGTGGATTAAGCAGGGAATAGACATACTACCCTATACTGGGGTTGAGATGAAGCTTCTTTAGTTTAGTGCTAGCCAGTTTTATGTTAGTTATATATCAAAGTTAACTATTAAGCATTCTGATTTTTATACCATTTTTGTGCATGTTATAACATTTATTCTTTCCCTTATAATTATTTACCCCTTTCCCTCCCCAACCCTAAACTTTCATTTAAGTATGGAAACCAAAAGAGCATTGAATGTCCAGACATTTGAGGTGGCAATAAAATCTTGGGGATAATAAATATGAGATTAAAGGCGGGTACCTATCTCCTAGGGATGCTTCAGTGGGTAGAAGTAAAGGGATGTAGGACAAGACCTTTCTACATGGTGTCCCAAAAGTCTTAGTGAAATTTTAAGCTAATCAAGCTGCTTAAAACTGTTGTTCAGTCATTTTTCAGTCATGTCTAATTCTGTGACCCCAATTAGGGTTTTCTTGGCAAAGACACTGGAGTGGCTTGCCATTTCCTTCTCCAGCTTGTTTTACAGATGAGGAAATTGAGGCAAGCAGGATTAAATGACTTGCCCAGGGTCACACAGCAAGTAAGTGTCTAAAGTCAAATTTGAACTCATCTTCCAGAATTCAGGCCCAACACTGTATCCACTGCACCACCTAGCCGCCCAGCTTAAAACTATAATGAGGCTTTTTGGACACCCTATATACATTCCCCATGGTGGCACAGATGCAGAAGAGGGTGTCAGTGAGCATAAAAAAGGCTGCCATATAAGACCAGAACCCTTCTAATGAGCAACTTCTGGCCAGCCTACGTACCTATTGGTTGTTGCCCATGACCTAATACATTCACTTTCATGCTTCTCCCAATTTGTGGCATAGGACCTCTCCTGGCTTTAACTCTAATCTTTTTATCTTAGGCTTGGTTTATCTCTGACTTAATGAGATCTGACTTTTATATTAATAATAGCTAACATTTATATGGCTCTTACTATATGCCAGGCACTACACTAAGCACTTTACAGTTATTAACTCATTAGATCCTCACAACCCTGGGAGGTGAGTGCTCTCATGATCCCCATTTTACAAATGAAGGAACTAAGACAAAGAGAGGTTAAGTGACTTGTCCAAGTCATATACCTAGTACATGTCTGAGGTCAGATTTGAACTCAGGTTTTCCTGACTCCAGGCCTAGAGCTCTATCCACTGCACCATCTGATAAGTCTTTAACAACCTCAGATCACTTAATACTTTGATTCTATAGACCTTCTTAGCCACTAAGCACAACTTGATTAGAATAATTCCAGTTGTCCCTGGGTGAAAAGGGCTGCTTTCAAAGGCAGTGAGCTCATTGAAAGTTTTCAAGCAAAGGCTGCATGATAACCTGTCATGCATTTTCAACAGGTTGTCCCAGGAAGCTACTGGGGTCCATTTCAACTCTAGATCTATGACCTACTAAGTAGAGGATTTTTACTCAATGATTTCACACAACTTATTTTTAATTTTGATGTAATTTCTGTCGTTGTAAATCAAGGTCTCTCATGAAGATCACCCTTTTACCTATTTATCTCATGATAATTAATAAGCCATCTATTTGTGAAAATTCTTCCTAGCATATAAAGGTGGTGGAAAGAAAGGGTCAGGGCAAAAATCTTTACTGAGATGGACAAGGAAATACTTGTACATAGAAATTATTTGTATGCTATAACCCTTCATTCCGCTACCACCATCAAGCCAACAAGGCAACAAACATTTATTAAGCACTTACTTCCTGAGTTCAAATCTGGTCTCAGACATTTACTAGCTTTGGGACCCTAGGCAAATCACTTAACTTTGCTTGCCTCAGTTTCCCCACCTATAAAATGAGTTAGAAAGGTAATGGCAAATTTCAGTATCTTTGCCAATAATGGAGTCTGAAATAACAGCAACAATAAGATGTGCCAATCACAAGTGCTGGGAATACAAATATAAGCAAAAAGAATGACAGTCCCTGCCCTCAAGGAGCTTACATTCTAATGTATGAAGGGTAATGAGGCAAGTATATCTTGTGTTTTAATATCACCTTCATATATAGATAAATCCTTTCCTATCTATCCAAGGAGCCCTTTCTTGCAACAAAGAATAAAAAAGAGGAAAAAAAATCAGTTCTAAACAACTTTGTCAAGGGGACTGAGGCAGGTATGAAGCTAAAATGAAGCTGAAAAGCAGGGGTTTGGGAAAAGGATGGAGGAGAAGTCAGGAGAATCATAATCAGAACTAAGAAAGGAGTGAAGGACTGAGTCTGGGGCTAACTTGGACACTTTATCAAGATGGAGGTTCCAGGAAAAACTCAGCAGTAAGAGAATAGGTCTGCAGAGGCAGAGGGATTTTCCAGGGTGAGAAGCTTTTTGGAGAATGGAGGAGAAGACTGTAGAGTCAAGAGTGGAATTGAGAGAGGAGAATCAATTAATAAGCTGTTCCTCCAAATAATAAAAGGAGGAGGAGGAGGAGGAGGAGAGGAGAAGGAAGAGAAGGAGAAGAAGGAGAAGGAGAAGAGGAGGAGAAGAAGAAGAAGATGATGATGATGATGATGATGATGATTTGTAGTATTTCATAATAGACATGAAAGGTACTATTGTGGTGCCTCCGAGTGTACAGTAGGGCTATTTACCCCGCCACCTCCCAAGAAAACTCCAGACTGCTCTGTTTTTTTTATTTCTTGTGTTTGCTTTTTAGAGCTGTTCCACATCATTACTTGGTGAGGTTCAGGTTTGGGCTGCAAGAGTTTGAGTCTGAGATAGACAGCATAAAAGCAAGTTTAGCAAGGAATTCTCTTGGTTTCCTTGGTTTCCTCATCATTAATTTATAATTAAACAGATTAGATGGAGGTCTCTGCTGGATGTTCATAAACATAGTCATGTTTTTATGTATGTCTGTGCCTGGCCAACTCTACCCTCTAGCTTCCTCTGAAAAAGTATTAACTGTACAGTTCCTATCATCACTGTTACCCTCATTGCTCTCCATGATAATGGCTAGTTTTACATGGCCGATGACATTTTTCTTTTTTACTTTTAGGTTTTCATCTAGGTCTTGAATTGTTAAGGTTGCTTGGCAATTGACTGCTGGGGAAGTGGGTTTTACTGTCCTTATTCAGGAAAGCAGGAGCTGTTGTCAGTATCCCTTAAAAGGGTACCCATTCATAAGTCTGAGGCTGCTTAAGGGCAGCAACTAAAAGCAAAAAGGTTGAAATCCTTCTCTTTTCTTTTTTTTTTGGGGGGCTGAAATTCCATATAGGTTGAATGGAAAAATAATAATAATGACTAACATTCATAGTGTTAAAGGCTTGCAAATTGCTTTATATGTTATCTCATTTGATGGAAAAGGAAAAAGAAAATGGCTAGTGTGGGGCACTGTGGCTTTGATGATCTTTTGTTCCTGAGTGGTGTTCCCTGTTTGTTTGTGTTTCTTGTGTTGTGTGTGCCCTTGTGGACATCTTTTGTGTGCAGCTACCCTGTGTAAAAACCGGCTTGAAACTTAACAATAAGAAGACAAAGATCTTGGCAACTGCTCCCCTCATTTCCTGGCAAATAGAAGGAGAAGAAATGGAAGCAGTGTCCGATTTTATATTCATGGGCTCAAAGATCACTGCAGCCATGAAATTAAAAGATGCCTGCTTCTTGGAAGGAAAGCTATGGCAAATCTGGATAGCATACTAAAAAGCAGAAATATCACATTGCCAACAAAGGTCTTTATAGTCAAAGCTATGATTTTTCCAGTTGCAATGTATGGCAGTGAGAGTTGGACTGTAAGGAAAACTGAGTTGCTGCAGAATTAACATTTTTGAATTGTGCTGCTGGAGAAGACTTTTGAGAATCCCTTGGACTGCAAGGAGATCAAATCAGTCAATACTTAAAGAAATTACTTCAGGCTATTCACTGGAAAGTCAAATACTGAAGCTGAGGCTTAAATGCTTTGGCCACATAAGACAAGACTCATTGGAAAAGACCCTGATGCTGGGAAAGATTGAAGGCAAAAGGAAAAGGGGGCGGCAGAGGATAAGATGGATAGATAGTGTCATGGAAACCAAGAACATGAACTTAGACTTTGAGAGATAGTGGAGGATAGAAGGACCTGGCGTCTTATGGTCCATGGGGTCATGAAGAGTCATGACCCGAACAACAACCTGTGAGCTTCCGAGGCACACAGAACTCCAAAGGGTTTGACCATGGTAACTGTCATAAGATCTCCACTTGAATCCAGGTACATAAGGCACTGCTTGAGGGAGCTTTGGAAGGAGGGAAGGACGGAAGGAAGGAAGGAAGGAAGGAAGGAAGGAAGGAAGGAAGGAAGGA